TTCCAAGTGGAAAACACAGGAAAGTTCAAAGGCAGAGGTGGGATGAAACAGCATGACATGGAGGAGACTGGGGACATTTTAGCAGGATAGAGGGTTAGGACACTAGAAAATACTAGAGAAGCTCATCACATCATGGAGCCAAATCATGAGCATCTTATAACCTGCTAGGTTTTACCATGTAGACACTGGGAAGCAACTAAGGATTTTTTTGTTTTGTTTTAAGCAAGGGAGTACCAAAATCAGATTGGTCTTCTGATAACATCGCTCTGGCTATATTGGTGGGTCAAAGGAGGAAGGGTAGGTTTGGAGTTGTATCTAGGAAGTATAAAGAGGGTTAGGCCAAAGAAATAAGAAGAGTGGATAATTAATTCCACATTTAGTTTGAATAGCTTGCTACATGGTGGTGTCATAACTAGTTAGGACAAATAAGAATACTGGAATATGCTGTTTCAAATATGTTGATTTTTAAGTATGTGGTATATTATCAATTTTGTCTGCCATGACACCATCCCTGTCTTCACTTAAAAGCACTGCCATCCATCTTCCCTTTAGGAACTAGTCTTTCCCTATATAGTCATTCTTAGAATAAAAATAAACTTTTGAGATTGTTAATATAGCCTGAGTTACAAACCATACAATAATTAGAAGACCCACTCCAGTGAGTTTATTTATCCATGATAGACCAGAACCAAAACTAGAAAAGAAAGGTTAATTATTATTATCAGATCTTCAGATCATCAGGCTAGCGAGTAGAAACTTGGCTGAAAAGGGGAAACAGGCCAGTCATGGTGGCTCACCCCTGTAATCCTAGCACTTTGGGAGGCTGAGGCAGGCAGACTGACAGAGCTCAAGAGTTTGAGACCCACCTGGGCAACACAGCGAACCCCTGTCTCTACTAAAAATACAAACAATTAGCTGGGCATGGTGGCATGTGCCTGTAGTCCCAGCTACTCAGGAGGCTGAGGCACAAGAACTGCTTGAGCCTGGGAAGCGGAGGTTGCAGTGAGCAGAGATCATGCTGCTGTACTCCAGCCTGGACAACAGAGCGAGACCTCATCTCAAAAAAAAGGGTGGCGACAGAGAGAAGTGGAGACGAAAAGTCCAGGAGAATAGAAAAAGGGGAAGGGAAAAAAGAGAAAGAGGAAGAATTACCTGAATAGTAGTGAGCACTTTTCTGTCCTGCTTGTTCTGCTGTTTGAAATTAAGAGCTTAATAAAGGCTGCATCTCCTGTATGTTTCTCAAGTGAAGATGACACACAAAAATGGTGCTCACATAGTTGGAGGAAAGATTATTTTAATTGGGTTGTGAAGGATGGACAATATTTAGATATTGGGAAAAAGAAGTTTCCAAATAAAATAAGAAGCAATTGAAAAATGTGCCATAGGTTCTTTCAATTAGAGATGACATAATATCAGATATTATGTTCTAGAATTGTTGGTATAGTCATAGCAAACAGGTGAGGAAAAAAAAGAAAGCAATGCCTTAGGTGTATCCATAGTGAATGTGTGTACTCACTAATGGGGTGCAATAATATGCCAGCTGTCATTTGCTAAATGACAACAAAGTGGCTGAAGCTGCATTAAGTGCTTTATATTTATATAAATTTTATTAGTCAGGAGCAAAATGGCTTACTGATAACAAAGCTGCCATTAAATGACAGAAAACAAGCTGTTCAGGAGGTCAGAAAAATTGACCTAGAAGTGAGGAGAGGGGCAGGGATTCATCATAGGTACACATAAACAAATACACTGACCAGGAACTCATAGTTATCCACATCCAAGTTCGTCAGTTAGATGACTCACTAGCTAAACAAAATCAGAGCCGTCCCTTAGACAATGGGAGAGAATTCAACTTAATAGCTGAGCATAGTTTCATTCTTAATATTTCCATTCCACATCAAAAAAGAAGATAAGCCACTTGTTAAACAGTCTTGTATTAAGAGAGATTCCAACAGAAAGAAATCTTTTCCTCAGACTTTTTTGGAGGACTCTGCACTCCATCCTGGGCAACAGAGCGAGACCCCATCTCAAAAAAAAACAAAAAGTGGGGGTGGGGGAGGCAGACAAAAGTGGAGATAAAAAGTCCAGAATAGAAAAAGGGGAAGGGAGAAAAGAGAAAGTGGAAGAATTACCTGAATAGTATTGTCCTGCTTGTTCTGTTCTTTGAAATTAAGAGCTTAATAAAGGCTGCATCTCCTGTCGAGTTTCTCAAGTGAAGATCACACACAAAACTTGTGCTCACATAGTTGGAGCAAAGATTATTTTAATTGGGTTGTGAAGGATGGACAATATTTAGATATTGGCAAAAAGAATTTTCCAAATAAAATAACAAGCAACTGAAAACAGCCGTGTATTAAGAGAGATGTCCAACAGAAAGAAATCATTTCCTCAAACTTAGAGAACTCTGGTATATACCCGCAAAACTTATTTGTAGCATTGGTGACTATATTTCTTTTCATAGTACCATATATGTTCAGTACTAGCAGAGAATAAAAGCTTCTTGACTAAAACTTATTCAGTTTAGCTCTTGCTTACTGTCAGATCTCTTCTTCAAGTGGTTTACACACACTATATAGGAAGAAAACAGGCTATCAAGCTGGCCATCAATCAGTCTGAATCAGGAAGGCAAATCTTATAGCAACTGAACAGATTTTTGCTCAGTAGAATGGATTTGTGTCAGCATAGGTGGAGGACGAAAAGTGTTTAAGATTGTTTTAATTATTTTCATAACTCATTATAATCAGAAGATTTTAAAAAGAATGAAACACATTTATCACTGAATCTAGTTCATATATCCCATTAACTTTTCTGGTTGTATTTGTGTATCCTTTCTCCTAAATGATCCAGTCAATCATTTTGGTATAATACTCAACCAAATTGAGCAGCAATCTAAAATAACTGTCTCACCTGAAGGTGAAAGTATGATCACTTTCACCTTCAGGAAGACCTGCGTTATTGCTAAGATCATCAAGGAGCTCTTGTACTTTAAACAGTATAACTGTTTCTAACTTACTTATCACCAGAGTTCTGTAATCAATTTTCTTTCCATAGATATGAACTAGGCTTAGTTTAATTAGCAGAAGTGTTTTCTAATTATTTTCTATTCATCTTAAAAATTTAGAAAATCTCCTAATTAGAATATCTGATAAATGATTAAGAAAGCCAGTAGTTAAGAGAAATAAATAAGTGGATTTTAATGTTGAGGATACAGTTAATAGGAAATCTGAAATAAAAATTTAAAAAACATAAATAACTAAAAATGACAGGAACGATACATTTGATAGAGTTCCTCTTATATAATACATTGTGGCTTAAAAGTTAGCATATTTAAATAGTTTAAGTCTTTTACATTACTTAGATCTTTTCCCCCACCCTTGTTTTTTTTTATAGCTGGTGGACATTTATATGAAATTAATTTCTCTTGTGGCATAATCTATTTCTACCAAAATCTTCCTTGGCCAATATCGTGTAGTTTTAAAATAATCTTATGTTTCTCTTTATGTTTAAACCCAGTTTTTACTTGTATTCTTTGTTGAAGAATTTTTCAGCTCTCTGGTGAGGTAAAATTGATGTATTAGCAATTTCCTACTCATAATGTAAAAGTAATTATATTAGAATGTTCTACATTACAGTTAGACAGGACAAAAATCAGTGGCACATATTCTTTTCTAACTTTTCCATCAGTAGTTTCAGGGAAATGTCAAGAGTGGTTGGGAATTGTATTAGAATATCTAAGGAGCTTCAAAAAATACATTTATATATAATACATAAAAATACAACTATATACATATATATATAGGCATTCCTGGATCCTATTATCTAAGACACTGCTTCAGTGTGTTCTAAGTTCTAGAGGTGAAAATTGCTGCATTGTTACTCCTTAAACCATTATTTCTGAATGTTGGTCCTTATACCCATTTTAGTCAGTAACAGAATTTTCACTAGACCACAGTGAAATGACAAGCAAGGAAAGCTAAACATCACATTTTTAATTTATAAATTATTTTCCTTCCCTTCCACCTTCCCACCTTTTGGATATTAAAATGGTCTCCCTTTTGTTAAATAATGTTGATGGTAGATATTTATAATATAACAAGTTGGCAAAATAAAAAGCTGGCAACACTTATGTAAATAACCCAGGTGTTCCACCTTTTTTGAGATTTTACAGATCTGTGAAATTCAAAAGTCTGGACATTTCTGTCTTTAAACAATTTAAAGCAAAACACGTCTTAGAAAGACTTAGTAAGTGGGAAAGATGGCCCATTGGTATCATCTTTTAAGGTTAGGAAATGTAATTCTGCTCTAATTTGGAAATCATCTGAAAGACTTCACTTCTTTATCTTCTCTGTCAAGTCATTTGTCTTGTTAATGATCTTCCTCTGCTGGTTCTGCATGGCTTTCTATCCTACTCAGCATCAAGTTCCGATTTTTTATTTATTTTGTTTTCATTTGATTTCTAAGTATTGCTCAATGATCCCTCCCCCTGTGATATGGTTTGGCTGTGTCCCCACTCAGATCTATTCTTGATTCGTAGCTCCCATAATCCCCACATGTCGTGGGAGGGACCCAGTGAGAGGTAATTGAATCATGGGGTCAGGTTTTCCCATGTTATTCTCCTGATAGTAAATAAGTTCATGAGAGCTGATAGTTTTATGAAGGGGAGTTCCCTTGCATATACTCTTTTGCCTCCTGCCATGTAAGACGTGCTTCTCCTTTACTTTCCATCACAACTGTGAGGCTCCCTAGCCATGTGGAACTGTGAGTCCATTAAACATCTTTTTCTTTATAAATTACCCAGTCTCGGGTATTTCTTCATAGCAGTATGAAAATGAACTAATATACTCAGGATAAGTTGCATTTTCTAAATAAATTCCTCAAATAAAAATTATTCTAAAAGTTCCTTATTGTATAATATCTCTTATTTACTTGAATTATTGAGGGCAATAATCTCTGTCATATTTATTTGTTTTCTCTCCGATTTTTTTTTTAAGTAACAATCTATGCTCACTTCGGCAGCACATACACTAAAATTGGAACAATACACAGAAGATTAGCATGGCCCCTCTGCAAGGATGATATGCAAATACACGAAGCATTCCATTTTTGTTTTACTTAAAAAAAAAAAGCAACAATCACATTACTAAAAATTTAGAAAAAAATTAGAAAATCACAAAATAATCACAAAGGTGAAAAATCAAAATAAACCATAATTCCACCAACTAGAGATAATCATTGTTAATATTCTGGTCATATTCAACCAATCAGGAAATCATACCATATATACTATCATTAACTACTCTTTTAAATCAGGATTTTTAAGATGTGAATAGACTACACTCAATGATATAATTTACTTTATAACCCCTTGGCTCAATTTATTTTTAACAAGAAAAGTTTAAGAACCAGTATCTCTTACTTATTTCTTAGCTCCAAATTAGAGCAGAGTATAAATAAATAAATAAATGCAAACAAAAAGCCAACCATATGCTAAAACTGGAAAGGTCATAACATCTCTATCCTTTAGCTATACAGTATAATCCTTTTCTGGTTAAATATTCCATTTAAATGTTATTCAGTTTTACATTCTTTATAATGTTTTTGTTTTTGTTCTTTGTTTTTGAGATACAGTCTTGCTCTATTGACCAGACTGGAGTACAGTGCTGCAATCACAGCTCACTGTAGCCTCAACCTCCTGGGCTCAAGCAATCCTCCCACCTCAGCCTCCCAAGTAGCTTGGACTACAGGAGTGCACCACCATGCCTGGCTGATTTTTTAAAACTTTTTATAGAGATGGGGGTCTTGCTATGTTGCCCAGGATGGTCTTTAGCACCTGGGCTCATAAATTTCAATATTAGAAACACTTGAATTTTACTTTACCTTGAACAAATTTGACACAGTGACTGAAGAGAAACACTGGGCATATAGGTTAAGGCAGCATTGTAACACAACAAAAGGAATGTCAACACTTCAAACCTAAAGACAAACAAAAAGAATATTAACAAATCCCTAGAATTCTAAGAAGTCAACTATAAAAGGGGAGATGGCACTCCTCGGGGAGAGATACAACGTTACAGAACAGATGCGCACAGTATAGGCACACCAATAATGAAAAACTACAAGGAAAAAAGACTTTCCAAGTAGCAGCCATATGAAACTTGTCTTTAAAATTCAATGTTCCAGCTGATATCTGAAGCAAAGTACAGGAACAAATCTAGATGTTTTTTCTTGTATAAAATGACTCAATACTCAAATAAATTATCACACACAACTCATTAAACACTATTTATAAGTATACTGAAATAATTTTCTTAAAAAATTAGTGTAGTAAATAAGAAGGTTTATCCCCAAAGCATACCTATTCTGTGCTGTCAGCATCTCCCTTTGAGGATGAGGTCCACTGTACACAACTTTTGACAAACCGTGCTGGGATAGAGCACTCTCAGTAAGAGCCATGGACCCAATGCTGGAAGGCTAGAGAAAAGACATTTGAATAAAGAAAAAAAAAAAAGCTATTCTGTTGAAAAGGTGATATTTAGAATATATATACTGCTAAAATAGCTACCATGAAGAACAACATCATGTATCTTAAACATATTTAGGCTACCTGTAAAATTTTCTTCTCAAAGATTTAATAAATAATTTAAAAACAAACCAAAAATGAGAAATAAAAATTAGTTTAATTTCAAAAATTCTGCCATGAAATACAGTTGCCACACACACACACACACACACACAAACACACACACGTAGCTATCCATCAGGAGGAGTGAAAAATATTTCAAAAAGAATACTTTCAGTAGATCTCTTATTATCAGATTTTGGTTTGATGTTCAATTATTTTATTTCTAATCTCAATTTGGAAACAGTAAATGCTTTGTGGGTGTTATACTTTTGAAGGTACTAATAAATTGATCATTTTTTTCCCTAAATAACTGGATTATAACTTGTGGCAATATCAAAACTTAGGGTGAACAAACTTACTATGACAAAATGTCACTTACTTCGTGATACACAGATGGTTTGGATAAAGATGGAATTGTAAAACTCAATACTTTGCTATGTCCCTGTTTGTCAACTATTTCCTATAGAAGTGAAAGAAAATAGATTAAAATACATATTTTTACATATAAATTTACAAACTAAATTTAAGTAGTCTAAAAAAAATTTTTAAAGACCTGAATAGAAAGGAATTTTAATTAAAATCTTAAACCATGATAATCCATTATTATTCATAAACACCAGTAGTTAAACTCTCTCCTTCCACTTAAAAAATATATGTAACATAATTTTCAGGATGGCTGAGATACAGATACAGTGTCTTAACAATCCTTGAATTTCTTCATGTTACAAGTTATATTTGCTATGATCATTTAAATATAAAATATGTAAAGAAAATGACCTTACATTTCTTTTGCATTTTGAAAGGTACAAAACTTAAGTATCTAGAATACCATACTAATTAATATAGAAACTCTATAGTAATGCAAGCTGTATGTTAAAACAATGTTGTACACTCTGGAGACAGTCTAGATTTTATTCAACTATGATTGGTGAATATTAGAGTAGATCTTTTCTCCCAAACTTTTTGTAAGGGTCAGAAACAGATCATTTATAGGCAATGGACTTTTAAGTTTACAAAATTTAAAATGCAACACTGATATTTTCAGATATCTCTATAAAAGAAATGAAATGGTCGATTTTCAACCTTCAATCAATCCATAAGTATGGTTACATAATTACATGTATACTTGTATGTCTCCCAACCCCCAGAAAGTTATATTTGGAAGAATGAGCTATGAGTCACTTGATGTATGAAAAAATAAACATTAGCTTTACTAAAATGAAAAGCAGTTGCACAGGTTATATATTTGATTTGTCAAAAAAAGATTTTGTTAACCCCACTAAATACAAACCAAATTGTAAACCCCTAGAAGAAGAGCTTCAATGCATCCACTGCTATGCACATTTCTGCTGGCCGAAACTGCAAGATAGCACCAAATCAGTTCTGGGAGAAATTGCAGCGTAAATCGAAGCAACTGCTCCTCACCACTGCGATAGAATTCAAACAGCTGGTGACAGACAGGTTCTAGCAACTGGAAGAAAGACAAAATGTTAATTCAAGAACTGGACTGTATTTGAATGCAACTACTACACGAAGTATAAAAAGTTTTTCAGATTGGTAGAAATTCTTAAAATAGCTAAGTTGTTGGAGTTTCTTCTTAAAACATCCTTTCTTCCTGGTAAAATACATGTCAATATATATAGGATTGACTATGGGATTGAAGAAATTGAAATGGGAATCCTGGGTAGTTACTGTCCTATCTCCCTCCTGAGTTTATAATTAGGCAGCATCTGACAGCAATGACTGGTGTGTAAGGGGGCTACATAACTACAGAGGCCCCTAGATTTAGATCCCTATTGTAACTATGACTAATTGGCCCCGGATAATCTAAACAATGCTGTAATTTTATTTTAAACATAATTTGGAGTCACCTATAACCTTTTTCTCTCCGACCACACTCTCAACATTATCCAGTTAATGAGCTGACTATATCTTTATAATGGGCTTTAAAAAATCAGACAGGCAAGGTAAGACCCTCTTATAGGTAAGTATTATCTTTAAAGCATACACAATGATCACACACAGTCGTAATCAAATATGTTAAGAGATTCACAAGGTACTGCTCACAAGGTACTGATTTTACAAGCAAATTATCAGGCTATATATTATATATATCCAATGAACTATACTTCACAAAGGCAATAAATTTTTTTTTTTTTTTTTTGGTTTTTTTTTTTGAGACGGAGTTTCGCTCTTGTTACCCAGGCTGGAGTGCAATGACGCGATCTCGGCTCACCGCAACCTCCGCCTCCTGGGTTCAGGCAATTCTCCTGCCTCAGCCTCCTGAGTAGCTGGGATTACAGGCACATGCCACCATGCCCAGCTAATTTTTTGTACCTTTAGTAGAGACGGGGTTTCACCATGTTGACCAGGATGGTCTCGATCTCTTGACCTCGTGATCCACCCGCCTCGGCCTCCCAAAGTGCTGGGACTACAGGCTTGAGCCACCGTGCCCGGCCTCAAAGGCAATAAATTTAAATAAATTTACTAAACAGCTTTTCTACTACCAATAATGGTATTGAACAGAAACTAATTTACAGTGGATGTTTTGATTTCAAGTAAGTGAAATATGTAAACTGAATATAAGTTAAAGACAATACTGTTTATAAAAGGTATAACAAAAAGTTATACTTCAATAAACATTGACTAAGTCAAACTAACTAGTCTTTCCTCTTGAAAAATTACCTAACTCTGACAGTTAAACTTCTAAAAGGAATCCTTTTTCCATTCTTGAATGGTCTTTAGAGGGCAACAGATGTCCAATGAGGTCATCAAAGGATAACAGAAAAACAGGGGCAAGAGGCAAAGCCATCCCATTCATAGATAGCAAAGTTTTTAGCATAGGAATTTGGAAGAATGGGGTTAGAGGTGGCCAGAAGAAAGAAAGACTTGTCAGGGATGTTTAGCTTTCAGGGTGGAGTTGTTAAAATTTTCTTTGTGGACCCGCATCAATAATCTGGAATTGTGGCATAACATCCCTCATCTCTAAATCCCTCAGAAAGCTAAATCAAATGAGATAGTTTATTGCAAAATTATGAAATCTTATTTGGAAATTTATTCAAGACAGTTTGTATGAACATATAATTTTAATGAAAACATACTCAAAAGGCTTTGTAACCCATTTAAAATCCAAAATTTAGAGTTTTTGCCATATGAAAGTATAACTTAATGAAGACAGATTCAAAGGGGAAGTAGAAATATACTGCAACAAGATTAGATAAAATTATGCATTTGAAATTAATACAGATAAATATCAGTATCTGTGTAGTGCATCACAGACTGCAAAGTACTTTCACATAGATAAATCCATTAAATTCCCACAACACTGTAAGGTAAAATATCATTATCCACACTTTGCACAGAAGGAAACTGAGACAAAAAGGCTATCCCCTATGACCAAAATCACATGGCTCACAAGGGTCACACCTGGAGCCAGGTATTTTGACTTCTTTACTAACATACCTGCAAAGTGTCAGGAAAGAATA